TTGCATCACATGGTTGCCTTTGTTCAGTTTCATGGTTATTGTCACGAATCCCGTGTCGGTTTCATGAAATAAACATGCAGGGAAACCATACGTCGTTAAAATGGAATATTTGTTTTTGATAAAAAGAAGACTTTTTTTCAAAGGTGCAAGTTCGCTATCTACTTATAATAATAACAATTTTAAACTGTGATTTGAGCTGTTAAAAACCACAGTGAAATATACACAATAACAAAATACATAACTCTTCTAATAATACCGCGATGAACAATAGAACGAGTGAAAAAAACAATGACAACAAAAACAATCAAAAATTATTTTCCGTTGGAAAGAAGTGTTGCTGTCTTGTATTCAGATGTGTGTAATACTAGTATCAAACTCGAAACAAAGGATTTGAGAAAAACACGATTATAAGTGTAGACAATGTCCCATAATGCAATGCGTTGGATTATTGACACATATTCCATGTAAAACCTTCACACCATATTTACCATGTTATCACACAAAGTTACGCCGGCTACCTTGCGTGTGTTTGGTAAACAAATTTAAACCCGATTAAACGGCACATACTAGCGTGTACTACCAGACTTGATCTATTCATTGACCATCTCGTCTCCAGTTGGTCTGGTCCATCCAGTTTGAGAAACATTGCCTTAACATTTTGGTCGGGCCTTATCGCCGTGTTGTTGTTAGCTATAATGTGTTTACGTTATAAATAACATCATGTCAAATCCACTAGCTGTCAATCAACCCCGTTGTCGCCGAGATTGTGAACATTAAAACAGATGGAAGATCCTGCATTTTATGTCCACTGTTGCTTTGGTGCTAGGCAACTGGTCTGTGTTCTTAGAAGTGAGCTTACACTGATTACCCGTGCCAAATATTGAGTGGTATATAATTCGCGTTGATTAAACCTTCCCCGTGGCCCATAATCGTCTGTAGTTGAGTATGATTTTGCCAGTCTATCACTATGTACAGACCACAGTCCCTCTACAGAGGGACTGTGTACAGACCAAGCGAACACACCATGGACCTTGTGTCAAGATTACCATTATGCTAATAAGAAACGTGCCTCCGATAGGTGCGTAAAATAAACTTTTTCATGTTATAATTACGTTTTCAAAATACATGTACATGTTTATACCTTTTCATCAGTGAAATAATCATGTTTGTGGCACAGCCAGGACGTGTGGAGAAATATTTGCCGAGAAGTCATACAAATAAATCAGCTGGTCACATCCAGAGGTGTTAAACACGATCGATTAAAATATATAGTTACAATCAACAAGGCAATTCTCAAATCCGAAATGCTAGAAAACAAAAACAAAACGCATTCAATACTCTCCGTTTTAGAACATTTTAAGAAGGTGCAAATTGTTTACAGCTTTTCCTTCATTGGTTTAGAATGTTTACCGTAGTTAGTGCTGTCAAGTGTTTATGTACGAGCGATTTTTACCTTGCTTGGTTTCTATTGTTTAATCCGCGTTCAACCATCAACACAATATACTAGTATCCAATATTCGGCGACAATCACAATTGTATGAATAAATCACAATCTTTGTATTCATCTATGTATTTTTTTTTAAATTTAATTACTAGTATGTTTCATTTCAGTCATTAGGCAAGTTACAATATTTTGATCATTTATAACCCCGAGTTCAGTGAACATTATTACGCGATGGTTCTCCAAGGTTTGGGAAAAGATACATACATAGTGTAATAAAAATTGCACACTGAAGTTTCCAGACACATCGCCCAGCTGGATATCATGGACATGAATTGTGCCATATTCTGGGAGACGGTGAAAAAAAAAGTTGCTATTACTATTAAAGTCCATATATTCTAGAGTGGCTGCTTAGGCAGAAAGAGTCACTAAAATGCACAGTATTTTCGTGACGGGTGTTTACATGAAAAAACCGGGTTTTGCAAACGGTTGGCATGGCGACGCTGAGGTAGTCTACCCCTGCTCTATCTCTCTCTCCCACTCCGGTTGCCCAGTGATATTGGCATTCATCCCCGGATTAGCCAGCTCGAATCCCGGTACCACAGCGTAGTAGCGACATGTTGTTCGCGGGGGGATAATCTCTCATCTGTACCGCGTGTAAATCGGCGATGTAGTTAATCTGTCCGTGGTCGATGCGTGATCTTATTAAAATTATTTTTAGCATTTATGCGCGGTGAAATCTGGGGGCGACGGGACGAGTGGAACAGAGGCGTGACATCACGTGGTACAAAACAACCGCGAAGATGATCATTTTCATCTCACTGTTATGCGCATCTTGGCGGAGATTCGGTCACTCAAAGGAGATACCAAGAAAAACAACGCTGGCTTATATAATGGATACAACAAAAACAACAGCGAGTTGGATCTGTTTGCTTTAGACAAGTAACATACCAGTGAAAATTGTTTACAACAATAGTTGACAAAAAGCTGCAATGAGTACGTGGTACATACAACGATAATTCAAGCGCGCACCTATAGTATGAATATGAATGTAAAATGTCCGTCCGTTTCGCATGCGTTGGGTAGGATCCCTCGCCACGAACGGACCCACCACGTTGGCCCAAGGTTTCCCCCAAACGTAACGCGACCTTGAGGTTCAAGCCTGCAGGGCATGCCAAAGGATTTCGTAAACGGTGGTTTCGCGTTGCTGCACGTCTGGCTTCGAATAATGTTGTTTTGGTATTGCATTTCAATGGCACTTATCAGTAGTATTTAAACTAAATAATCGCTCGTGTTTATTGTTTTGCTTTGTTTCTTATTGGTATGGAGTCGCCATTCCAGATGCACAGAGAAATGTTTGCTGAGTGGAGATATTATTATTCAACACAGCGCACGGAGTTCGCACCGAAATGTTTAAATGTGTAATTCAGTTTACGCAATCGTATGTATCTTTCGTTGATAGCTGACAGCGACGATCGTAAGCTGCTTTAACAGTATCGAAATAACAGGCCATTCACAACGCGCTCAAATGCTAATACCACAAACGAACAATGCTGTTTGTGCTGTCAGTGGCGCTTTTTATTGTGAAGGCAGAGCACCAAAGGACTGATATTTCTTCGACTTTTAATTCCTACTTACGGTCTTAGTCGACCGGATCGATGTAACAATCGCGGCCAACGGCTACTGTCGTCGGGCATACACCTAAGCGTGAGTCTCAACATCGTCTCAAGTGTTCCCCTGATGACGTGGGAGTACAAATTCGGTTATGGACACGAGTTCTGTTTTTATTGTTGAATGCGTGTTTTGAATTGTTTTCCAACAAATTCACACTAAACTGGGTATCGCCAATATCTCGCCAGACACCGATTGACACCCGACGAGGTGACAACGACCACCGTTCGCAGGGACATTCAAAACGACACTTGGCACCTCACCACGCTTGGCGGTGCATTGGGAACTGTTTAAAAGCTAGACACTTCAGTCCTCCGCCCACTTGCGTTTCAGTTTAAACAGAAGAGTTATTTATTTATTTATTGCCCCACTGGTTTACATATATAAGGTTTTATTCGTCTTTTTTCCCCGATAGTACCGCTGCCCGATCTAGTGGTCATTTTGTATGAACAACAAGGCAGTCTGGTTCACGACAGAACGGACACCAGCTTTGAACAAATGTATTTCAATATGAACTATCCGTGACCGTGAGCATTGTTTTTCAACATTATTCACCACTAAAGGCCCTCAATCGACCAATACTCGAGATTTTACCAATATTTTCGTTACACAGTTGTGGTCACTGTGACCACTCATACGTATAGCTGTTATTCATTCCCGCCAAAAATGAAAAAAAAAAACACATATATATTCTAAAAAAAAAAAACATTCCGAGGAAATCCGACGGCAGTAACATACAATTTCCCGCTACTAAATATAACACACTATATACGTTTTTGTTCTTTCTATTGTCTGCCAACCAACTCCATGTATGTTAATACATAATTTTGGGATGACCCGTCAAGTCGGACATATTAAATGTGATCGGGGTCCAATCGTCAGTGCGCAGCATACCTGTCAAGTGGCTGTTGGACGCAGAGCAGAGTTTCCATGTTAGCGAACTCTCTCCAATACACCCCCTTCGTACAGGAATGATTTATCAGCGCCATTAGAGGGAACAAAAGAGGGGGCAGTAGGCAATTTGTGGATACAGTGCTGGCCGTTACCCATACATAATGCTATGTAGATTGTATTCCTTATAATGATAGATGCCCCAATAATATCAACCTTTATCGATATTCAAGAGGATTTTTTTTTAAAAGAAAGAAAGAAAAGAAACTAGATCAGATAAAGTTCTAGTCAGCAAGGGATGAACCCCTACCAAAGACTCGTTTTAATTTTTGTTTATACATTTTACTTTTTTATGACAGTGCTCATCAATAACGCCATTCGCGTGGCCACAATTCGACTGTTTCCGCCACCAGTCGTGCTACGTAATATTCGCCCTGAAAAGCGAATAACGTAAACGCGAAGGCCGTACGCACATATCAGACGCGTAGCACCACTGCCAGTTTTCCGTATTATCATGGAACATGTGTCAAATTCAATCCACGCCCAGCACAAACAAGTACGGTAAGAGTTTCTAAGTTTTAAAACGGACTCGTTAAAGTTTAACATGATTAAAACGGACTACCGTGTGTCAGGTAAATGATCAAAGAGTCAGAGCGAGGCGTCAGCATTGGAAAATCTGTTGGAGTGTTTTCAGACGCTGTTTAGCTTTACATACATGTGGCTTTTGAAAACCGTCTAAAAGGGCTTTGCATGGAATGAGTGCGACTGGGCTTCGGTGTCAATTGCGATCAGGTTATCCCGCCCACTCCACTGCTATTGGTCACTGCCTGCCTGTATCTGCATAATTACAAGGGGAGTGTCTGATAATCGTCATAGTGACGTGGCGTCGATTGGCTAGTTGTGTACACGCCCTGTCAAGTCGTCAAAACTGATGACACAGACAGCGCCGAAGCGAGGAGATACGCTCATGTGATTACGCAGAGACGGTGAGGTGTTATAATTGTAACAGTGTGAATTGGTAGTAGCATACACAGTGTACAGTGACAGTGGCGAGCTAGCATCATCTCCTCGCTGAAGGCTCTCCACATTGTCTTACCCAGCGCTGATCGTTGTGTTTGCCACTAGCAACGGTACAGCACACCGGGAAATACCTCTTCCGCGAACTTTTATTTTCCCACAGCCGCCGTAAAATATACAGCCAGCCGCTGCACTTCGCCGAATGGATAACAGTGGCTGTTATTAGCATATAGTACATGTGGTGGTAACGTTGCCCCTATCAGCTGAGCTTCACATTATGTACCACGGTGGCTGGTAGGATTCTGCTTTCGTATCGTGTCTGTACGTATGATATAAAATATATACAGGCGAAGAGACCTTTTTCTGACAAGAGGAGCTGAACTCACTGTGACAGAACAACGCTAGGTAACAGCTGTACGTTTTTGATCCTCGACACTGCACTCTGATATCAAAGTTTGATAAAACACCGACGAAAACTCGGCTAGTGGGGTGCTTGAAAGCTGCCCGCCTACAGCGTGGAAATCCTAGCAAAACCCAGTCGCCTGCTTGGTCGTGACCATCGATGTTAAGTAGATTCGAATGCCGTCGATGATAATCGTCCGATTTTTTACCACAGTTTAAAAAAAAAATAACACCACCATCGCCGCTTTTTACCGGGAGTACTTAAATCTCCCGAAAACTATTACAGCACATCCACTTCGCGTTGACGCTACCAACCTTCACTGAGCGAGCGATACAGACGTTCACTTTGCCCACAGTCACCATGGTTCAACTGTGCGCGGGATGCGATCGGCCAATACTGGACCGTTTTCTTTTAAATGTTTTAGACAGAGCCTGGCATGTAAAATGTGTACAGTGTTCTGATTGCAACTGCACGCTTTCAGACAAATGCTACTCAAGAGAAGGGAAATTGTACTGCCGAACAGACTTTGTCAGGTAATGATTTACATAAATTTTGTTATGTATTTGTAATTTGTGGGCCATTATCACTGACGAGATAGGCTTCAAAATTTGCTACGTATTATTATACCGTTTTTGCTTCTCCGAAATACAAAATATACTAAAAATACAGTGATACTGTTTAGTTACGCCTATAGCTAAATAGGTGACGAAAGACGAAACTTGTTACACTCATAGCTTTAGAAACCACTTACATCGCATATCAGGGAGCTGTAAACAGTATCGACTCTTAACTAAACACTGTATAAAAAAAAACGACAGACAAGCAACTATAAAGAAAGGAAAACAGAGAGGAAAAAAAAGCAAGGAGGAGCAACATAGAACGATAGTAATATCTCTCGTCTTGTAATATATATGTTTTTTCAAACATTTTTTCCCCATTCTCTAGGCGGTATGGAACCAAATGTGCTGGCTGCTCCCATGGTATTGCCCCAAATGACTTGGTGAGGCGGGCTCGCAATAAAGTTTTTCATCTCAAATGTTTCACATGCATGGTGTGCAGTAAGCAGCTGTCCACGGGCGAAGAGCTCTACGTTGTGGACGAAAACCAATATATTTGTAAAGACGATTACCTGGGCAGTAAATCTCCTTCCGGTGAGTAATGTTATTTTGTACAAATTCGCCCAGAGACACAGAGATTTGTTTTAAAATCTAACGCATGTAATAGCCAGCTCAAATATAGAGAGAATATGTTTAATACACTATCACACCCCAGTTGTTACACGGTTTCGCCTGTTGCTCATTGGTGATAGATGTAACTTTTTTTGTGTGTTCAACGAAGGGCCTCTGAAGTATTCGGCAATGCCCCATTGACGTATCAATGTACGGCGGCTATTTGGCTTTTAGGGAGGCGACGTTGACAGCTGGCCGCACTGGTGTGAATATGCACGTATATCTGCATAGGAGCGGTGGAAATATAAAAAAGCAAATCGGATTAAAACAAATGCCCTAACAAAAATAACAGTTGCCCTTTGTGTTGTAGTTTTGAGTTGATGAGCAGATTGAATCGAACCGGGGATACGTTTTTGTGTGTCAAATCATGGCATGACGGCTAGCGTCCCCAGTGTGGGGCTGTGTAGAACGCAACAAATATAATAGAGGACATCTGATCAGATATTTTTTGTTACTTCGCTTGTCAATGTGTCGATAGGCCTTTCGTCAGCTCCCCTGGACAGCTGTACACACTACATACGTGAAAAGATGTGTACATCGTTTACAAAACACCGAAACATGCTGGTTTTAGAGAAGCATTGAAATAACATCTATTTTCGACATTCGATCCGGTTTCAGAGTATTTTTGTAATAGCAGAGATACCCGCAACAAATGTCAGTAAAAATGAGGTGAATCGGTGTGATTAGATAATGATATGTTTAATTTTGGCTTGTCACTGTTTAAGCCCATCTACAATGGGAAAACATCTTCTTCACGTGTGCGTACTGCCGTACCATATCCCAACGCTTGTGTCAGTCAGTCAGCCCCGGCAAACTCTACTGACTACTGTCTACGGGATATATGCACACATATATATATATATATATATTTCCCAATGATTTATCGATATGCCACCATCGCCCCACTTAACAACAAGTCATTAAGCGTAAGTGATGTCCATCTTTTTATAGCCTCCAGCGAAAGAGCTGATGTTCAGTACCGTTTCGCACATCATGAATTTTTACAGGCGACGACGTACTGAGTACCGACCGTGCCCCCACTGAAAACCATACCAACCCCCTGTGGACGCGTAACAATATTCAAAATGGCGTAGAAGGTCGATCCGGCATTGTAGCCGGGGATTCGTATTTTTGTCAACACAACCAACAGTGGAATTTTGGCCGTCACAGGAGACCCAAGAAAAAGCTGTCATTGTAAACGATACGTTCAAGCAGTATTGTTTGCTCCCATCACCACCTCCGTTTCTGTTTCTGCTGTCTCCCAGTAAAAGTTGCATGCGAATACGACTACCAGCTCACTTCAGTACGTGTACTTACGAAAGTTACGCTTCTGTTTACGAATGTGTCGAGGCTTGTTATAAAAAACAAAAACAGAACAAAACATTGTGCGGATCATCACAAGCCTTGATGTGTAGTCATTTTGGTAGCAGCCCCTCCAATCTCACGTTGCATCCACTACTTTACGTGTGGTGACGCAATGCAGACGCATTCAAGACTGTATTGCTCGACTGTACAGGTGAACCCTTAACAGCGATTGCTGGCAGGTCACATACAATATTCATCGGTTTTAATGTATCGTTGCCAAAAAACAAAATCAATAGTATATTTTAAAGGGAGCTTCCGTCGCACTAGGTGACTCCCGCAAGCGAGTTGGAGACAGGAAACGCGATTGTAGCTCTCTGCAAAATACCTGCCTGCCGGATGCCCAAGTCAGCTGCACCATTCAGTCGACTTCTAGCTGAGCACACAACGATCAATACGATTAAAGTCTCCACTATACAATTGAAACATGTCAAAGTGGCGTTCCGTTTGTAGACCTATATTTTCCAAGCTTTTATTTTTTTTATTATTTTGAAAAACTATGCTTTCCCGGCGTTTTACTTGATTTTGATTGTCAACGTTGGGTTTTAAGGCGCGTTGTTCTAATTTCAGCGATCCATGGCTGTGTCGTAGCAAAGCGCCCTCATTGCTAAAACAATACCCCCATCACCACAGGCGACCTCTCCCTATCGCTTTTCTTTTTCATTAGTATGATGAATGTCACTAGAGACGAAGAATACAGCATGCTGCTATCTCATATTCGAATATTATATGGATATTTTGCATGCGTTATTTGCTTCAAAATCATATCATGCAGTCCATCGGGGACAGGGCTCTTTTTCCCAACTGAGAACATGTTTCAGATGTCGCGATTATTGTTTCCGATTATCAGGGGCACTTGGCGGTGGGATTCATTTTTTGCTTTCAGCGTATGCTTATCGTCGGTAACCATCGCTGCATTGTGAACGGCTTGTGAGACTGGTGATTTGTCGTGGAGATCAGAATCCTCCACCGAGTTGTGGGAACGGAGGTGGGGGGGGGGCAACCACCTCCTCCACATGTTCTATCGTGATGATTCATAGATAGATGAATACTAGTATTGCTTAGCTCTGTATATTCTTCCTCTGGCTTCTCTATTGTTTGTCTGTGTGTCTGTATTGTTAACTTGATAACGATTAGGACACACATCTAACAAAAAAAACATTTAGTAAATATCTTTGGTCACTACCAAATTAAATACAAGAGGCATTAATAATGAGAATTAAGATAACGTGTAGATATCAGTATTGTTTATGGAGTTCGATTGAACAAAGACCAAAAACGTATGTTTCTTCAATATAGAACTCGATTAGAACAATTGTTCATGACGTCACAATTTAAACTACTATTTAAATTTTGAAATGTCGCCGAATTTGGTTTTAATCAAGTTATATTACTGAATTATCATCAACTTCCAACATTCACTGGATTCTGTCCCATTGAAAACAATTGATAGTTAATTGCCGAGTGAAGTATAATGCCATTGACATCGAGTGGTATTAACGAAATGGACAACTGGTAATCACGTTATTAATTACCTACTTAATTACGTTATTACTATATTGGCTATGTCCAATCCAATGATAACGAGCCCTGTGCAAATAACACAACGAACTTCAGAACCGATCGCAACGTGCTTGTTACTGCCAGATATCACAACTTTAATGTTATGTAAGATCATTTGTCAAGCGACCATTTTGGCCATTGAGAATTCCAATATTTGTCCGACATTATGCGGTTGGCGGGTTTGACTATTCCACCAGTAAACACGCCTAGGCCTAGTAAGTATACACCACCAACTCCGGCCAACACATTCTGTTGATACCAATACCAACACCAAAAGTGATTTCGGTAATGCTTCTTTCTCAGGCGGACGTTAACCACGTAGTAGAATATTCCGCATTCGATATTAGGGAACAAAAATCGCATTCTTCTTCCCACTGTTATACATATCGGAAATTTATTTTTACGCTTCTGGATACAATCCACTTGTGGTGTATTATATCGGTTTTTGGTGCTCTTATGATAGGGGAAGAATCTGTTTCGCACGACACCGGAATAAACCCTTTTTTAGACTGATGAAAAATAAGTAACAGTGGGAAGAGACATTCGGGGGAAAAGAAGGGTAGCCGTATTTGCATTGTGGCAGCTCGTCTAGTTAGGCTCTCAGGGGAAATGTTTTTTTTTTTATGTACGCTATCCATTATACGTCCATTCATCGCATGTTAGTCTGTGTGTGAGCTGGCCCAGCTCCGTATTAAAATATCTATATACGATACTTTTCTTTCGCAGAATACACCCACCGACATTGTCATTTCGTGTTTTTTTTTGTGATGTGTATATATCTGGTATATATGATTGTAGTTAAGCATTTGGACAGGATTATTGTTGTTACCATAGTGCTAACCATTCTAAATGAGCTTAGTCATGATTTTTTCTCGTTTTTTTTTTTAGCTGAATCAGACCAGACTGATATGTCAGTGGGACCCCTAAGCAACGGACCCGTCTCAACAAACGGATACTCTCTCACCAACGGTGGGTTGACACATCAACAGAGCAGCATGCTGGCAAATACACCAAGTTTGGTGAACACCCCACCGACAGCTTCGGCACCCCCGTCGACGACACCGGCACAGCCGACAACGCAGCCGCCGCCAGACGACATTGAGAGTCAACCGACGCCATCGATGCACGAGTTGGACGACGACGATAAGGACGATCTATCTTCGATCAGTGAGACCATTGATCAAAATACGAACTCTAACGACGAGAACCCGAGCAACACCGACATAAACGCCAATAACAATAGTAGTAATAACAATAACGTCACAAACAATGAAAACACAGATTCAAATAATATTTCGGGGACAAAAAGGCGTGGACCGCGCACTACAATCAAAGCCAAACAACTAGAGACGCTGAAAGCCGCTTTCGCCGCCACACCGAAACCAACGAGACACATACGTGAACAACTGGCCCAGGAAACCGGGCTAAATATGAGAGTCATACAGGTAAGTAAGCACAGCTCTTAGATTCATTTTCAACGACACAACCACGCTCAAACAGACCATTTAGATTTACCCCGTACCACGTGACCAAGACTTGTCAGTAGGAAACCCAGCGTGCATATTTCACCAGCGACGACCATCTGCATTGAAGTGCAGTGTCCCGCGAGACTCGGCGAACAAAATTTGATTTTTCCCTCACGGAAACCTATTTTTCCCTCGTTTCTACTAAACTTTGACAGGGCCGCATCGCTTAACAGACATTGTTTATTGCATCTCAGTCACCGTCTGTACAATATGGGGATTTCTTATACTTATATTTTTTGCCAGCAATTCGGTGTGGGCGGCACACTCGCCGGGAAGCATAAAGAAATCTGACATTACATACAAGGGGAAGTAGGTTGATATAAATTAATACATGGGCACGTACTTCTTATGTTCTTACCATGGCGTATTGGCAGAGTGTATATCATGATTCATCAGTCAAAAATCGTAAATGTCTAGATTCTAAACTAAAATAAACCGTCATCGAACGATTTAGAATATTTTATATTAAAATAAATTATGAAAAATTAATGAGAGCATAATTTGAATGCATCAAGTTATCTAATTATCATTTCGACCTCGAGTGCTAACGTGTTCACCGTGTACCTTGTCGGCTAGCGATCAAAACTTGCGTCAAATGTGGGTGGATCGGAAAAGCTTCAAAGACGTTTACGAAATCGATGAATGTTGTAGATTCCACACTGAAATCAACGACAGTGTCATCGATTTCTGGTCAAGAATTCCCAAGTTGGAAGTCATCGTGTTCCTGATTTCCATGTCTGTCCGAGCTATATAGTAACCAGTCCAGACTAAATAAATATGTAAGCTGCTGCTGTTCATTCACAAGACGGTTACGATTTTGTACGATTGTTTTGATGCAATTAAATATACCAGTTCATAAGAATCAAAGGGGAGACGTTTTTGCCGCGAATATACACGCCTACGAAAGTTGGACGGCAAGTCTGCCCAGTACAGAGCCGCGGGGAAAAAGTTTTCCAAACTGCGCCACATGTCGGCACTGATAATGGATATCCCTGGTTTTGTAAAAAGATCCGTCGGCACAATCCCACAAGAAGTTATACATGTTACTGGTATTATTTTATCTTTCCCAGACTAGCCCCACGTGCGTACGGTCCCACAAATCTAGGTGTCTTGCTATGTACATACAGCGAACAAAATAACGAACTTTTATTTTTACGTGTTAACTGGCGCTCTGTTATGTTATACACACAAATATGTTTCTACGTGTTGGAATTACGCCTCTCATTGGCCAAAGCAGGTTAATATGGTGTATGAAAAACACATTTCATAACTCGTTATTCCATTTTCAAAAGCATGATTTCTCACTTAAAAATATATTATTATTATTATTATTATTATTATTAATAACCACGTGTGCAACAACATTGATTGCAACAGCGAGACTCGCAGTTATGTTTTTCTCGGTTACTCGTATTACGTCACGATCGCGCGTGATTTAATGCTCTGGGGTTTGGAGGAATTGAACGTTGTTTTGCTCGTAACAGCTTAGTAGCATTCTTCAGTGTATTTTTTTATTCTAAAATGCATGGAATATAACAAAAACAAGTCAGTGTTGTTTTGCTCCGAAAACACCCGTTTCAAATATCACGTGATTACTGTGAGATTTTAAAACTGTACGACACCGAACAGAAGCGATGACTTAAATTTAAGTTGGCATTTAGAAGCGTAGCAAACTCAATTATATCATTCTGTATTTCCGCTTGGGTGAAGAACATCCAACAATAATTTTGAAGCTTTTTCTCTTTTTTTCTCTCTCTAATGTGCACTTCTTTGCTGACCTTCTATCCGTTGGGAACCTCTTCGGTCAGGGGTCAACTTGCGAAATTACCGAGAGGTTTTTACCCCCGGTTGTCAGTCACCGATCCTAACCTACGCGGCTACCCATATTCCTTTGAAGTGTAGCACGACTCAGCACATGCTAAGAGTTCGACCCCCGATGTTTCCCTCCCTTCTGGAAAGCAATAACCCCCGAGAGGCCACGCTTTTAGCGTACTATACGAGACTGCAATTCAACTCACTCGTGGAATAGGGCGACCGTAAGTTTTATATATATCCGCTCGGCCGAGAACTTAAGGAATTAAAAGCCTTTCATTCCAACAGATTTAGTTGCAGATGATATACTTTTATTTCGACGACTTTACATCGTCATTTGTCGGTTATGGCTGAGGAATAATGAGACAGTGAAATTTGCCACATTGCTGAAAACTCCTAATTGTTGATTTTACAGTCAGTCAATGAATTTGAAGAAAAATGATAAGAAGAACAACCGCATTCGGGAATTTTGTTCCCCTTCTCCTGACAACTGCTCTCAATATGTCGGAAAACTTGAAAGAGTCAGCCAATCACGGGTTTTAGAAAATTGTAACATTATGTCCAGTGTCTTGGATTTGAATGCTTTTAAATCGCCATTGTCCCTCCATTAAACTTGGACATACCGTCTTTGAAATGGTTAATTCATTCCCCTTCAACTGAAAGAACGCTGATATTAACACCACTTAGTTGCTTATGTAAATTTGACTTCAGTGTAAAACTTGTTTTAAAAACAATTCACAGTTGCTCCAATACTGGCTGATTTTCTATCTCCATTCCATTGACGTCTCTCCACCGACGTTCGATCTGCGGTATGCTTTTTCTTTGATGGTTTATATATGATGTATGCTAGACAAACACGTCTTTGATCCGCTGCTAGCCACCCATGCAGTTAGCGTTTTACAACATTGTCGATAATTTATGTCATTTGCAGTGAGCGAAGAAAAGGGACACACTTTTGTCTTTTTTCTTGTATTATTTTAGACAAGACCTCGTATAAACAAACAAAAAAAAAACGCAGAGAGAGCATCTCGTGTAACAGTCATCCCCGCTGAGAAGTACTATCAACTGTACACTAAAGCTGAGAACAGCAAATTACAAGAAAATCTTTTCACATTCGAGTCCACATTTTATCCGAGAGAGAAAGAAGAAAAAACAGTTGACAACAGTTTGATTCAACGCAAGGTGTCCAACAGTTCGATTCCTTTGCTACTCTCTTTCTCTACTTCGGGCTAGCTTTCCTTTTCTCACCAGGTGTGTGTATGCGTGAAAACAAATACACCGCTGTCACGAAAACACTACCTATCACTAGCTTCTTGCACAGCTTCCCGCTATGACAACTGCCTTCGCCTGGATACTATTCCTTCAATACTATTGGCACTTTCAACCCCTCGTGGAGATGCTAATACAGCTCTGGGAAACACATCTTTGCAAGAAGTCCCGTATTTCTAAAAAATATTAAATCTCATAGTATGCAGACGCCTCCTAGGGCTCTTCTAGTATGCATCCAAATACTGCATCAAACTCAGAACGATCGACAGAAACCTACTGTGTATTATATAATTCCAGGTATGCAAAATTGAAATTGTTTTACTCCGGAACCCGTACCACTGATGCGGGGATTCGCGTGACGGGAGACATTCATAACAACGATCGTTGCTATCAATTAACTAAACGTGGATTTATTATACGCTATCTTATATCATTAAGTCAGTGCAGTAAATGAAATTAAAGAGAAATCGTGACCGAACTACTATCGAGAAAAAAAAAACAATTATTGCGGTCATGTGATTATAACATGAATATAATGCAATTATTTTCATGTTCCGAATTGTGTTATTCGGTTAGCAACCATATTTGGTGTGTATTTTTAGTGTCGAGGCCGCAGCAATGTATGGCTGATCGGTATCGGACTCTATGCCTGTACTTCGACGGACATGCCCAATATAGCAATTTTTATTGCCTACGTCGGTTGGCTGTGCAAACAAACAAACGTAAAATAGCAGCGGTGTTTTTATTCTTCAAACCTGAACGTGTGTCGATTGCACATACACGGTTGCTCATACTATAACTATTTCTGTGCCCCCATGGCATGGTTTTCACATCAAGTCTCTTTAAAACATTACTCCGTTCAAAGAAAATAAACATCTGAAATATCGCCCATTCACGTAACAAACTGAATTGTTTTCGGTGTTTTAAATTTGACCTATGACCGCTTGAGTTGTTTGATGCAAATTTCCACACGTCACTTACGGCCCGTTTTTTTGGCCCCCAGTATCATAGTACATCAGTACCGCAACAACACGCCTCTCCACACAACGAGGCACCCGTTTAAATGATCCGAAGCTCTAAACAATGTAACTTTGCATTAAATATTTGTTTATTTTTCGAAAATAACTTTTAGCATACGGTAAAGGGCGGGTGTTTCTGCGCTGTCTGGTCTGGACAGTGGGGATCTGGGGCTTTCAAGGTTTTTGTAAAGCTAGTTGGTAAAGCAACCCCGAATTACCAAACATTAAAAGCAATTATTATTTTCTGGACTACAAAGTTTGTAAAATACCAGCCAGATACAAACAAATAAAATAAAATAAAATAAAATAAAATAAAAGACATGGCGTGACATGTTGATACATCAATGAAAAATAATTTATTGATTCAATCGATCGATTGGGAATCGCCTAATCGTACACTCGGCGCAGTATCGATCGATTATGGTGCATGTCGTCAATCAAGTTGCGCTCTGTTTTTAGAATGGAGGCTGCGCATTCTACCGTTATTTCCGTGCGATGGTATCTTAGAGACGGAGACAGCGCATGCATCAACGTATCTATCAGCTCCAACTATCTCATGTACAGATGTATGATTAAACATTTCTCCTGTCCACCGAGGATAGCAGAAAAAAGCCCCCCCCCCCCATCTGTAAAAAACGGATATATTATTAAGACTGCGTGCACCGCAGTGTTGCATACAGCAAAAGTCTGTGCTTGTTTCGAGTGGTATCGATCGTGTTTAATTTCGAGCTGTTATCGAGTAATTGGCGCGAAGTAGGTTTCCCTGCCACACACACCGTGCATTTTACTTGACAGGAGATTGCCGACTTGAACAAAAAAAGATACAGCTACCAATCTTGCAATTTCGCTACATTAAAAAGACGAGTTCCATTCAAACCCCCAACAACAATTTAGCTGCCGTGTCATCGAGCGCAAATGGTATCCGTAACATCGTTTGTGGATGATACATTTCCGTTTCTCTGCCACGATTATTCTAAACATTTGAACGCTGGAAGAAAGTCCGGATGCGTGTGCAAATTCAGAGGATGCAAAGGGGAATAGACGCGCCGATATTACAGCGAGAGTATCTATACCTGTGCAAGTTGATCGGCACGCACATACTCGATTAGAACGCTGTCCCTACTTCCGCCATAGCATGAAACGAAGAGCTCTTAACGTCAGAAACGTACATAGTGAACAATGCGTGATTGAGTAAAAGCACATTTCGACCCATTTTGGGACCGAGGGTGCATGTGACGGGTTAAAAGCTGCGAAGGCCACAAAGCTACTTTCTTGATGAGATTTCGGCGCATTGTCTGCGCATGGAAGCCTGAGAATTAAAGCCCGAAGGAAGAAAAAGCATGCGTCGTCAGGAGTAGGTTCTCTTTTCAGGGCACCAAAAAGCGATACTACTTTATTGTTTGCCTGACACCCCTAATTGTTGGCAAAAAACACACACACTTTGACACACTCTATCGCGAGATATGGAAATTCAATCATATTTTATTCGACGCTTTTGTTCGACTCTCTTAACCACTGCACTCAACTCAACATCAGTGTTGTCATATTTTCAAAACGAACAGTTTTGGCATGATTCTTGGTAAACACACAGCGTGACATGAGAATCACTGAATGCAGTATTCATGCGAAAACACGAAAATATGGTGACTGTATGTATTCATTGAAACTCTCAATATTGAATATGAAAGGGGATTTATCATAGCCTAAACAAGGGGCACACAAAACGCACAGACGGAGCTGACCAAGGCATATATGCCGTTGTCAGTTTTATGCTAATATCTGTCAGTGATATCTCAGCGTATTGTCGAACGTGGGGTCCTCAATATTAAAAAAACAACCAACAACTGAATACCACTGACTGGATCACTATAGCGATTATATTTCATCAAATGAACAGTTTGCATATTCATGTTTTGTACTGATTTTTTTCTCCGTGTTATGTACAAGACAATTAAATACACACATTAAGATTCCGAATTGCAATTGCCTATTGTTTTAACGGACCTATTTCTGAATCAAATCTACGGGAGTTCGTTAAAAGATATTCCATTAAACCATCAATTGCACATCCTTCGTCGCCGCGGACATTGGCCACCTCCATTAATTTATTAAATCACCCCATGATAAACACATAGGTAGACATACATAAAGCATCGCCTGTTGTGCTTTAATTGTCAATGCTAGAACTGTTCGAGTAGAATTATTAATTTTCTACGGGTAGGCATTGAGTTATACCCATTGGATCGTGTCCATTACCGGTTCATAGGTATAGACGCGGAAACTATCAAAAAGCCGTGTAGTCAAAGCCCCCGAAACGAGCTATGAAAGCAAAATTAGTGCTATAAAGCCCAGCAAAGCGTTGAATACAGACGTGTAGGAGCATTTCTTCAATAAATCACCCGCCAACGAGTTTTATATTTTCTATTGCATGATCATTCATATATCCCAATTTTGAAGGTACTATTGAGGAGAAGAATAGACGATAATATAATTTTATAATTGTTGTATAGAGGGGGCGAGGGTGCTGATTCTCGATACAACTTTTTTGATATAACCAGTAGTTGTGTTATATCGTACAAACCGCAATGTAGCGTATATTTCTCCCCAAGTATTATGTCTAGTTATTTCAAATTTAATATTAACAATACCCGACATTAAACCGAGAGAACTTTATAATTAAGCATTAACCAACATCGATGCGACATTGTCAAGGAGAATATTATATCATTGTCAGACATGAAACGGCAGTTGTATAAAATATTGTTTAGAGTGAATTTTAATGTGGGTCTGTACTCCCAACAGACGAGGCTTTGTTCATTGCCCTCTACACTCGCCAATCGACAAATAATCAATTTCCAATCGTTAAATGGGAGTTGTATCTTTCACAGCGATCGTTGTTTACATACTAATCACCGGACGGAATTGTCGAGAGGAGAGAGAGGGGTACACACTCATGAATTGTAAAATGCTTGTTACACAATATGCAAAAAAAAACAAAAAAACAAAAAACACGAAAAGCAGTCACAAAATTTAAAATAAATGAATACAAATATTAATTTTCTTTTGAGGCGAGCGACTTCGAGTTTGTTCATTTCTGTACATAAATATGTATGATTTCCATGCGAGTTGCCATATTTTTAAGGTCGATTACGCCCGAGGTGGGTATCGTTTTTGTTTTAAATTTTCCAATTTGCGAACGAGCGACGCAATACTTCGGTATTCCGTGCGTGATTTGAACTATTAATCTGAGTCGCTAGCAAAAAAAAACTGGGTCGGTTTGTTTTATTTGACCATAAACCACTGTGTAATTTTATTGATGCGCCAGAATTGGCCCAATAAGTTTAATCACGTATTATGAATATTATAATTTTTCTTTCTTATTGGATGACCTAGTTGGATCAGAGAGTTGCAGGTGTCGCCTGTCGAAGCGATCGGAGACAATTACCGTGACGCAACAAAATATGACTTAAAAAGTCAACAATGTTGTAATCGATTCCTTACTCTCTGGGAGACGACCCGATGGATATGGGTCCACCCATAAAATTGTTTTAGTTTAGAACGCACGCCGATCGCAGAACGAACTGTGCAAATTAGAATTCTGACAGCGTCTATGTGTAAAGTACAGTTGTCTTCTGATGCCTTTCCTGTTTATTTTACTCCCAGAACAAGGCTCGCTGCTCAAAAGGGGACAGTTGACTCGTCAGCGTCGCGTTTTAAGCGTCAAAAAGCTTTGCCTCGCTGAAAAAAGGGGGAAAATGGGGTCCGTAGGGAATATCGACTGAAAGGAACGCAACAAACACTGTGCTAATGTTTTAAGATCCATACACGTCGACCTCGTTTGCCGTGAAAGCGAACATCCTTTCCTTTCAAATACACTGTTCCCTCCCAAGCTGTTGTTTAGATGGGGAAAAAAAGCACAACACCCGGTTCCCGCCTAGCTAGTTGCTCTGAAACAATGTGGAATATCTGTCATCTTGTGTAATGTACAATACGCTTTCACCAAGAATGTTGCTCGGCGTCTTCAAATGCAAATTACTTCAAACAAAAATAAAACTCGTACATCATTCTGTCGACAGAGCGACATCTATTAACGCCCCGTATCCGTCTATTTAGTTATCGTCGACGACAAACCGTGTTGCTAAGTGCAAAGAGGATAATCCAAAGGCGCGAACATAGGTGCACTCTGTTTAGGAGGTCCGTATCTAAGAAAAAGTTGTTACATGACAGCAACTAACTGTTATTTATATCCCCTGCAATTAGATAGATCTGCTCTAAAACGTATAACTCGAATATTAACCACGACTTGACACGGGAATATCGCGTCGTTAGTTACAGGGAGTCGAAGCGAAAGGGCTAGACAGCAGCGTTTTCTTGGTTTTAGGGCCGTGTGGTTCTTCCTTTGGCGCACCAAATTGTATTGTTTCTTTTTTGTAACCAGCCTTAGAAATTCGGTTGAGCACATGTCACAGTCTTCTTTTCTTACATTCTCTATTGGTTTCATTGATGCCAAGGAGCAGCAAACAGAGCAGAAAAGCATCACTTGAATAGCAGCGTTTTAGAACCAGTTTGTCCGACAGTCCTCCGCGCCGTTGGTGGAATGTTCAGATTCTTTCGGGCTTCGCGACCGCCTCAAATCTAATCCAGGTCGGGGGCGTGTATCTCCACAAATATCGCCAGTCCTCTGCTTCCTCTCAACATCTTAAAACGTATTTAAACAACTTTTTTGTGATTGTTTCAAGTCAAGCAGCTTCATGATATTTCAACGATTTCACACACTGATAATTAGACATCGCTCTTAAGTTTAAGAGCATAATGATTTGAACCGAATCACTTATACTACTGTTTTCTACTCTAGGTGTGGTTTCAAAACAGACGCTCCAAGGAAAGGCGGATGAAGCAGCTGAGTGCTCTTGGTGCGAGGAGACACCACTTTTTCAGGAATCCCCGCCGCATGAGGGCGTTACGAACGGCAATCGGTGGAGCATATGATTTGGATAACAGTCCCGAACTAATGAACCCCGGCTTCAGCTATTCACCCGGTAAGAATTCCATTATTAATTAATCCAATTTTACCCCCCATACTTTTTTTGTAATGAATCCCATTGTTTGTTTTTTTGAGCTGACCACGTTTCTGTTATCCGACCTGCTTCCAACTTCATTTTTTGTGTTGAAAAAACTTAAACACATATCTCGAGCATTTACAAAGAAATTGTCACGAGAGGATCGTCCCTGTTGATTTTTTACTATGAACTGGTATGTATATGTGAGTTGTTACTAACAGGATTACGTTCGGTAACAGTTGGTCGCGTAGTGCTGGCTTTAATGCAAAACAGCCGTCGTGATTGTAAATGTAGATATTGACTAAATATCAAAATTTATCACATATTTACCATTATAAGCATTTGAAATCATCGCTATATGTCTCCACCCTCGTCGTGTATTGCGTAATCACAATATTGTGGCGATACAATGGAAGAAAACCAATCCAATATAATAAATATTTAATAAATATGCGAAACAGAACAGCCACCCAACTTTGTCACCTCCCAACGCATTTTTGCTAAGTTGTACACCAAACTTGCCAGTTGTCGCTTGAATTATTGCTTATTACCTTGGAGTTCGAATTGATTGTACTAGTATATTACATTTGTCGGGGTTGATTCATACAATGGATTGAACGCCAGAAGTCAGCGCGTTTTGAACGGTTCAGCTGTTCGGGGTATCGACAGCTGACGCTAATGGTTCTTAAAGGATTGCAATGTATAATCTTTTTTGGGACAAGCCTGGACTGTAACTCTCCACCGTAGAATTGACGCTTTAATATATTCAATGACCCGATTTAGTTTGCCATAGTTGACTACGAAACAAAAGGGTTTAGTGTTTATATTACTATAGTCAGCAAAGAGATATACGGCCCCGCGTTCTCTCTCCATGTTGTTTAATTGCTTAATATCAACAATCTATTTGTTTGTATTTCGTGGAGAAAACACTCACATCAGTTTTTCCTTTTTTACTCTCGTTTGGCAATAGATGCTCAGTCGTCAACTCTTGCTCTGACACCGATGCTCAGTGGGCTTACTATTTTCGTGTTATTTTGTACGCGCCGAATCTTTTTTTTTTTTGAAACCATGTCCCATTGCACCACGGACTGGAAATCATGAGAGAATTTCTTATTTATTACTACTACTACATTGTATCTTATAACCACCCCCACCAATATTATAATACTTCAGGCAGTTTTTTTCCGAACCCACGCTGTCTATCCGACATACTCAACAATCCTACCTCCAGGTGCGGCCTATGCCAATAACTCTCGATGTGTAGTTTTTGACTTTTGCTATGCAGGTTATGTGCCCCCCCCCCCCACAAACACACATCCTACCCTCTTTCTTCATTCTCAACCACTGGGGATACGCCCTTCACAAAGCTCAGACCATTTAAAGTGCAATAAGAAATTCTTCGCTGAATCCATTTTCATAGTATGTGCGTTAAAATACAGCCTCCCTACAATGGGACAAGGTTACAGGGAAAAATGAAAGAAAAAAAACGTGCTTTTATCTGCGATCAAGGTTACACAATGTCGTCATCTGTCATTTTACGTTGACAGTGCCAATATATTTACGATTTCTCGGCTAAAAAATTGCACGATGATTGCAAAAATTGATATTACTACATTTTCCCCTGTGAGGTTTTTCCTACGGCGTACAGCGGCAATCGGACTTCCTTCTTTGGGTTTAGCGGGAGGGATCAGTTAAATATGGCCTTTTTGACCTTCGCGGCCGACTCCGCTGCAAGGAGATAACAGTTTGCTGCAAATGTGTAATCCGTGAAACCAACACTTAAATCTCGTTGTGGGATAAGGCGAGATCCGTTTTTATTGTACTCAAGTATTCCCTCGCCCCAGGCCACATCAATCCAGCTTCTGAAAAATCATCACAGGACGGCCTTCGCTGTCATTTCTCTTATCTCCTGTCAACGATCAGTAATTTTACTGTCACTCGAATGTTTTTTTCTTCTTTCTTTTCTGTAAACGTCAGTGCCATTTGTGTGTATTGTGTGTCTCAGTGTGCGTGCATCCATTTCCACGCACGCATCGCGGCGAATGCGGAGAATGTTAGGGGGCTTTTATCGTGTGGTATGGAGGGGTCTTTCGTTCTGGTTTTACGGGTTATGCAATGCTATATTGATGTTCGCTTTTGGATTGAACTGTACACAGTCCCTCTATAGTCTATAGAGGGACTGTGAACTGTACTAGGGGGATGGTCTTCGTTAATTGTCGAGAGAATCGCTTCAATTCGACCAACTACCCCACTACATTGAAAAGTAAGCGTGTAGACCCAATAAAACTCAATTGTTATAATTGGCGAATAGCAGTACGGTTCGTCTTCATTTGTCAGTGAACAACCTCTCTCAAAATTGGATAATTAACGCAAATTCAATTCAGAGTATCTCTTAAAAATCTCGTTTACAGCACACGTTATATTATTGACCCGAATTCCGTGAGGTTTTCGCCACTGTGTGTGTCGAGGGTTAATATACTCCCAAACTGTTCGGAGGTCAGCAGAGCGTATACGGCAGTGTCGTCGTAATCACGTGTTTCTCGCGCTCCCTCGTACTCACCTTTTTATGCTGAAGATTGTTTCAACAAACATAGCCGTTTTAGTGTGTTTACATTTTTTGTCATAAGTACTTGAGTGTTAGAGTATCAATGTGTGAAGAATAAACACACTCGCGTTCAACGGAGCACGTTCTGACTTTTATCTCTGTTATGCGGGGACGGGATCTAGCTAGAGTTTAATCGCCGAACGATATAATGCCAATCGTTCTCGGCGTTGTCATGGCAACCAATATCGTCTCGCAATCGGCGCTAGAATTCACATGTTTGCAATATCCTTAATAACTTTGAAAATGGGCTGCCAAACTGTCTATTTATGTTCAGATAATGTATTGCGGCTCCTTCGTATTTACGTGTCCACGTATTTAAGGGATGGGTCGTTGCGTGTTTGGCTCACCAAGCTAATAAGCCGAGTGATGTGCGATTCTATTTTCCCTCCCAATCAAATCGTTTACAGCTTCTATTTCTTTCGCCTTTAAACGCCTTTAGCCTCTTGAGCTGTGTGTGTTAGTGTTTAACAATCGTTAAAAACAAACTCCTTAGCTCCGTTCTATCTGCTCTTTTCCTAATGTCATTAACTCGACACCGAACGGCGCCCCACCTTTTCATTTCTTTTCTTGGCTCCTCAAGTATTCCCCATGTCGGGGGGAATGGCTGAATCCGAACAAAAGGCGTGTTTGCCTTAAAGAGGCTTATTTTTGGCGGAGAAGGGCCACCTTTTTAGTTTGTGAATTGTCCGTGTATCGATCAGAGAAACACCAGATAAGACAACCTCAACGATGTGTTTGTACAAGTGCATTGTTCGTTCCGACACAAAGCGCAGACCGGCTGATAGGGAAAGTTTCTTTTTCTTGCATCGTTCATGCATGATGTTAGCATTGCTTCTTTCCAACACGTATACTCGATAGTCCACACTAGTATCTACCCGCCGCCTTTATTATTCACTGCGCGTATATTGCTGAGAATCATTCTCAATTCGCGCCACTACCACAAACTGAAGATGAATAATGAGCCTTCGTTATGAGCGCAACTCGGGCCGGTGTCTCCAGTGCCGTCGATCGCTTTCTCTTAATCAATTCGCAGGGCGATCGTCGCACTGCCGAATTGAATAGAAAAACGACGGCCGCTTGGTTCTGAAACCCAGTCTACCATTGGAAGGCGGTTTTTTGTGTTCATTTCAGCGTGTACACACCAGAAAAAAAACTCAACCGGAAACACAGAACGCACGATACGGTGGCACAATATGCTTCGCTTTTAGGTCTTTGTAGTCAGTGTTTTCGCTGTTTTTCTTTGATATTATTGAAACACGTATTTCTGGTGTATATTCGAAACAATTGCCGGATCACTTCAACGTTATTCAATATCGATCAACCTCACGGCTATTGAGATCTCCTTCGTGCGCAGCACAGAATGACGGGCCTCTGAATAATTTTGCCTTCATTAAACACAAACTGCATACGTGTACGTGTAAAAATGTCTAGATTGAATAAATTGCGTATATCGTTGTCAAAATATGATGATATATTCAAGAACTTTTTTAGCGGCAGCCATTCATCGGGTATACAGTTACATATGAAGCAAACCTCGCCGCGTTGTCGACCCGTCTCGCGCTTACATCCGATTGTAACCCGACTCGATCGATCAGTATATACGAACAACATCCAGTGTGCCTGTCAGGTGCGGGACTCTCAATTTTAGAACGAAAACCGGGTTGACATGCGACTTTACTGGTCGGCAACAACTCGAACGTAACTGAATCGGCTCGGAAATACCCCGAACCAACAATTCCCGGCTGCCCTGTTATGGAGCATTTCCCTCAAATCACGTAGAACAAAAACATCAGCGTACTGTGATCATTTATGCTCTTTGTTCATCAGTCACGACGTCGGATAATACAATATCGCGCCGTGAACGCATCATTTTTATTTATCAAGAACATTGCCAAATTTAAGACACGCTATGGGGGGAATTGTTCATGTGCAAATATTACTGTTTTTTGGAAAAAGAAGTACACTCTAGCAATGTTATTGTCAAATATGGCTAAACGCTTTCTTAAGCGTCGTGCAATCATAGAATAGAATCGTTGTCATAGCAATGAATAATTTGACGCGGAATTCACTTCGTTTTATTTACCGTCCAGTGTTTAGAAAGTTATTACCCGTATATAGGAGTCTGTTCACAAAGAACATAGAAAGTCGCTATCGTACAATCGACGTTCTACTTGGTTCTAGTTCAGTACACCTTTTTCTACACGAGCTGTATGGATAAAACATATCGCTGAATATATTCGCGCTATTCGAGATGCGGTTGGGGGAATCCCTTGATAAGTGTGATATAGTACGAAATAAAGCCCCCCCCCTCGCCGTCTTAGAAATCCGTCATGCGTACTCCCCTTTTCAAGTCAATCAGCGCTACAAAGTAGCTGGATGGCGGTGATGATAACATACTGGGTCTCTCGTCACCATAATTGGAGAAGTGAAACACAAACCGCCATTTATGATCATTTGGAGATCACCCGGGGCGCTCACTGGAGTAATGAAAGAACAGTGTGTATAGCTAATTAAAAAAACCACGCTGAAACTTTGAGCATATCTACACGTAGCATACTAATCACGTGTTCAATATGTGAAAATATAGGTGTGTTATAAAGTACTCATTTCTTTAATGGTGGCCGGTGTTTGAAAGAACCAAATGCGGTTTACAATCCATGCTCCCGGGCCATCCATAGAACTTACTCTGAATTTTTTACCGGGAATGTTGTCACAATAACCGCCAATCTCCTCAACAATTGCTGTGAGACGATATTCGTTATTTTCATCATTTAGTCACACACCACCGGGTAACCGACGTCGTATCGAGGCATTACAGTCCTGTGACTCATGTTAGGAGTCGTTTCAGGGACAGGAATAAAGGTAGTGGAATTAACCAGTGTTTCATGTCACCGACTCGCAGTGCATCTCCTTTGTAACAATCAATCTTTACGCTCCGTGCTTGTACCATTTATTATTTGCCATGAACTCTTCAAAATTGACTCAAAATTAAATAAATAATAAAAAAAAGAGAGGGAAAAAAACATTCCCGTCAATTTCAAATAGTTCAGTTAATAGCCAGATGAAATTTACTATAGAGAATTTTCATTGCAATAGAACATCGACCCGCCGTGCTCGGAAGGTCGCTCCATAAGATTGATGACAGAGTGAAGCGTTGCAAAAATTGAGCGTTCGGTTTCTGGGAGATTATCGTAGAGAAAATTTATTAAGCTTGCCGTTAACTCCTCATAAAAGGTCGCAAGCGACAAAGCCCCAATAGGGTAGTATTTTTTGGCGAGAGTGAAGCAGTGCCTCATTCGTATTCCAAGCCACACGCGCCTGCATCATTGTTCCCTCGTTCGCGATACATGTCAAGGAAGCATAAACACGTTTTAAAACTAAAATGTCTCGCAAATACTACCACCCAAGTTTTTCGGGTTCACATTTTCGATAAAGTCACTGGTAAAATAGATTCTATATTTTTTTAACACACACTGGACTGAAATTCTCTAGATAAACAGTTTTTTTTATATGAACTCCTTGGCGGGAAAGTGGTTATCAGATATCGTCCGGGGAATGTACACGTTTCGATACACGTACACGATACAATTAATTTATATTGCGTAGTGTACGAGTGGTATTTCTTTTTTTCGGTGTAATGCAACGTCTTCATCTCCATCTACAAAACGAGCTTATTTCACACAAATTAAGATTCCGCCCGACACACGTCGGCTTTATTCTTTTCCCATTTCGGTCTCATGTACAGACGCGAAATTAGTTCGAGGCTGCTTTCAAATCAGTGGTCAGAATAACAGTTCAGATTTACCACCGGGGCTTAGGGCGGCACGGACTATGCATACACATTTTGTTTTTATGGATGTGTATATTTGAAACTACGACGGTTTTAGGTCTGTATCTTTGACGCCATTGCCATGCAGACGATACTAGTAGAAACGAACACAGCTTTACCCGGTTGAACTCTCATGGCGAATTAAACACGTTTGGTCGTGGATGGCGGCGTAGTACACGACACCTAATTGGTGGATTTATATTGGTATTGATGACGACAACAATGTCAGCGTGTTGCTTCAACTTTGCAGCCATTGTTTTTTAAATGTATCTTTTTATTTGTTCGGTCGGCATGTTTCTAGTTTTTTTTTTTTCACGACCGGTTTCAATTGACAAAGTGCTTACAAAAGCTGCTTTCTGTTGATCGTCTGATTCGAAAGTATTTCTCTTCACAAAAGAATTTATTTATATTGGCAAAAAGCTCCGTTTTTTTTTTCATTGTAACGTGACATCTGCTGTGTTTCTCTCTGCTGTGGTCAGTACACACACACGGTTACCTCGCAGTGTAACTCTCGCGATATTTTGCATGACCGTGATTTCACGCCCGCGACATATACTAGTATTTCTGAAATCAGTGCTACATTATATGTATATTTATATACCACACTTTGTATATTCAGCGAAACTTGTCGACAAATGCAGACAGGTGATTTAACCTTTGTCCTCAATATAATACGAAGTATACTTGTGGTGCTATTGTCACCTGTGTTCGTCTGCTGTCAGTCTCAGCTCCGGGGTCGTCACCCATTGATTGATCGGTCTCTGGCGATGTTAGTTCTTAAAGCTGTGAGTTGTTTTCACACTTGCGCCGACTCCCCGAAGACCTCAGAGTCTACGTTTCTATGTGAAAACCGTCCACACTCAGCTTTGAGCAGTTGGATGTTAAAAATCGATGCCGAGTAGCCATGCTAACCTTCCGATGGCTGTATCGATCTAATTTGTTACATCATTGAACTTTAAACGTAACACCTCCTTATAACAGGCTCTAATATCGAACAGCGCCATCAACGACAGTTGCTCGATTTTTTTTAGACTTTATGGATACTGTTCATAGTATTGGAGCAACATAATTGCACGAGGAGATTTTCTCGCTGCGTTGAGCGATTTTTTGCGACCAAATTGTTTCGAATGTAACCATCGGTTAGCCCTGCCTTATGCTTGCTGTTATTTTCTGGAGTGGAACAGATTTTGCCGGATGAGTGGAAACCCCCGATTTGTGTCCTTAGTCAGACTATTGGATGCGTCGTTTTCCATATGGCCATTCTCACAGAACGCCCAATGGTATACTTGTATTCGCTTTTTATGTTGCATGTTTTCACGTTCACCTTCGCACGGAATCCAATCATCGAAAGGATACGTGTTGATTTGCAAGCACAAATGTATGCTAATATAATCGAAAACAGAATATCACTGACACTGCAGCTCGTTTATTTATTATATTCGTCGTTTTGTATATCGTCATGAATGAAGTCATTGTTAAATTAATCTTTGTCTTCAACTGTGTGATTTTACAATCGTCCAAAAGAACTCCGTAATAGCGGTTACTTGCGGCCTGACATGATATACGTAACACAAATCCCCTTGGCGTCTTGTCCAACCACCTAACACACCAAATTAACAAGATACGTACGAAGACAAGATATATTTTCATACTTGTCACGTTGTATTCATTGCGTCGCCTAAATGTTACGGCGACACTGGTGGTAACGAGGCAACATGGAAACTAACACATTAAAGTACAAATCACATTTTAATTATTTTTAACTAGCATTTTTTGGCATGAACGCACGCACATCTACCACCGTCATTGTCATTATTTTGTCAAGGAGTGGGGCAAATACCTCTCCATATCTTTCAATATTTAAGCTAATCCTGTCGGGTAAATGTAAAAATATCTCTTAACTTTTCCCCAGGTAACGCCCATCAACGAGTATGTCATACATATATATATATTTAATGTGCGATCGTGCAATATCCATCTTTGTCCGAAAGCTGGATAAAAAGTAAATACAAATTTGTGTTTCGATGTTCTCGCGCTCTATCTCCATTCCCCAAATCCTCGTATGAAAGACGGGATGGGATAAACCCGGAACATGACAATGAAATGGGCAATGGAACGAACACAAGTCGGATTCCCGGTCTGTTTTATTTATTAGGGATTTCACGTCCGGTAAAGGCGGATTAGACGAAAGAAGGAAATCCTAACTCCGAAGCATGTAGCCTGTTTATCTTTCCAAAGACTTTCTCGCTCGACTGCCACTGAATAGCGGATTTAACAATGTTTTTTTTAATGTCAAACGTCGCTCGTCTAATTTCAAGAATATTTAAGTCTCTTGTTACAATCAGTGAGATCAGTCCGGTATTAAGGCTGTTGAATTTGAATCATGTAGTGCGAAAAACTGACCTTCTTTTTAAATGTCTGTAGGAGTTGTTGTGTGTGTTCTTCGTGTTAATAGTACATAACGAGGTTCAGGCAAAATAAATGACAATGTTTTATTTTGTTTTTGTTGTAGAATACGGAGCACCAGGCGATAGTTACGGCACCCAGGGATATTACGATCTATTCCCCGGACAACAACCAACCCCCGAAGGACAACAAGGTGATATCAATTTCATGCCAGGATCCCAGGCCGGTCACACACCACTTCCGAATATGGAACAAGCGATGCAACACCAGCAACCCAACATTGGAGGCATGCCACCCGATGTCTACCTCCGCCCAAAGGACATTCGTTCACCTAGCCCCGGACCCGATCACATGGGAATGCACGGCGTTGACGGTTACAACGGAGATCGATTCTTGCCGCCACGGTCGCTATCCGGAACACCGGGGGGATTCGGTTCGCTGTCACATCCGCCACCGGACATGAACGAAGCAGCTGTGTGGTGACAGACAACCGCATAACAGACAATCCTGTAGTGTCACATCGAGATTAGAGAAGATACTCCTTAATCAAAATAAAATAAAATAAAACCGAATACCCTTTCAGACGAACGGTGTCTGCATGCATCACACATCTGGAACCTGTTGCTATGGCGACTCCCCCGGAAAGCCCAGAGGAACCCAGATCCGAAGTAACTTACTTCTCCAAGGAGATAATTCCTGTTAAGATGGATACCATTGCTAATATACTAAAAAGATTTGAACTTCTTTGAAGTGGAAAACAACTCACAACATATGAAGCTTTTTCTTGGGACAAAAGACAAGAAAAGAATGTGAATTCAATGCACTGTTGAAATATATACGTCATAGTTGATACATTGTCAGAACCCTTTGTTTTATTATATACATTTCAATTGAAAGCAGAATGGCTATGAACACTGTTAGTAGAAACGTGTTAGAAAGCGAATTATGCAGGTATCATCCTCGGCTGTAAACCGACAGGAGTCGGTCGGCAAACCAAGTAGCAGACACTTTAAGCACCAAACTCCCTTGCATCCACTCCAGAAGCAGGAGAAAAAAACGGCTCGTACATTTCACCCAAATTGACTTAATTCATCTTTAATTTTGTTGGACTGCAATCGGCTGCCCACTTTATTTTGAGCTATCTCGTAAATCGGATTAGTAATTCGCCTCTCGATGAAATGGAATTAGCTCAGACAGAGCAAATGAGTAAAATAGGTTCTTCACAAGTCCAAATCTGGATGGATCGGATTGGAGGAGATAAGAACAAAATCTGTCGCTTGCTACTGCCGCTCCAGTATTTTAATAAGCATGAAAGACGAATATCCCTCAAAAGGAAGAAAATAGAACTCTGTTCTAATCTTGTATATCCCACAATTCATTGCAACAAAGAAATATATTACCGCCATTATTATATTATATATATATTTAAAATCATATCATTTTTAATTAAAGTTGCACATTTAAAAAAAAATACAATCATAATTGTACAAAAAGAGCGGGATGTTTAAAGCTTTGCGGCATTATTTTGGAGTTAATGTTTTTATGTATTTCGTACTTCCACCAGCATCATTATTAATTTTTTAGCGTCACCATGGTTACACTATTGTCGATTTCAATGAAGTGTTGTCGATTTCCTATGACGATTTCTCGGAAAGTCGGGACAGTGACCCTTACTCCAGATTGCAACCGCCGATGCTGTTAGTATGTCGACTGCTAGTAGGTCCGTTGTTCTTGCACTTTTGCGTGTAATGTCTATTTCCAGTTGTTATGACAACGACAAACATAGATGTGTCTGAACTGTAATTTTTTCATTTCTTTTTATTTCATTTGTTTTTATCTCAGCGAACATGCCCGAGTTACGGAAACAGGGTAACTGATGTGATGTTTTTTATCATCTTTGAAATATATCGAGATATGAATTATACTGAAAAACAGACATGCAAACGGCACGCATCTCATATCCCCTATTTTTTTGGCGGGATAGTTTGTGTTCACACCATTTGTCAATGTGGCTTACCCACCCTTCCCGTACTTCTTTTTTGTCATGCAAAAAAAAAATCACCAGAACGCACTAGCTGGTGCTTTAGGTGGTACTGTTGGTTTCTATATCTGACAATTTGCAAACCAGCAACTCTCTTTGGCTTATACATGTGAATTTTTAACATGGTTTCCCAGCAACCGGACAGCCTGTTAAACATTGGATTTCAATGTGAATGTTGTTTCTCAGTCACAGGGGTACTTATTTAAAAAAAAATCACTGAAAGTTTTCGTTTCACCAAATTAAAGTACAAAAATATATACGAGTAAACCGACAGCCATGTTGTATACACTTCGAATAATACGATGATTCATTTCAATTTGTAGCAGAGGATTATATTAATTTATAGTACGCCGATTTTGTATATTTCTTAAAACCGATGTTCCTTTCCAATTTTGTTTTGCGTGAAATGAACAATACCACGAGAGAGGTAATCCCCTTGTATATTTCCTTCCGTTCTTTGTTCAATCAAATAAAAATTATTTATGGATCATGATACAAAGTGTATGTAGTGTGTTCTTAGGTGTATTTGTTCCGTTCGGCACGTCAGTTCATCCCACCCATTGACGTGCATTGCATGCCCACTATCAGTTCACCATCTGGACGCGAAGAATGGAAGACGGGCAGATAATTACCGTGGAATCAGTAGGGATTATCTCGCTACATCTCATTTATTATCACAAATTAATGTCCCTTTCACGAAGCATGAGTCCGGATACAGTCGTGAGGTTTCGGTAAACATTACTAAGTATAATATCCTATATGTATTCACTCGCAGTTTTATTCGAGTTACAGGCATTGCGTTGAAACGATGTCATTAAACACTGTTTTATAATCCCCCACTACTTATTAATTTCCTCTGCACAACAATTAAATAAAATCCCAGAATGAGAACGTCCAGCATAAGTATATCCGTATATATAGTGAGATGTAACTAAACATTGCCACGTGTTGTTTTTGCACTCCACGACTGCTGAGCGGACGCACTAAGTTCAAGTGCTCTTCTAGTACAAACCGGAACCCGACACCACGTACACTCAAGTCCACTTGCGCTAATATCCCAAACAGTATCACGACCATCCAGTGTTTCGTACAAACACAACACAACAATTAACCTTTTCCCCGGCTGATCCCACATGCGAATTCTGGTAATGCTTGACAGTGTTTCCAACACCAAGGTCCGCATCGCAGTCAAGGCAGATTACAGCTACAAAGTGGGATGTATGCATTACATTACAAGTCACATTTACCGTGTTCTCACTAGATACATTTACGTCGGCGTAAGTTGCGCCCGTAATTAAAGAGAGAAGGATCTCATGGTCACAGACGTCCAATAATTCCTACAATAGACTTAAATATGGCGACCATTGGATAATGTGATAATGAAATGACCCATAACTATGCAATGTTTCATTTGACTATCTATTTCTGTTCTTTACGTACTGTTTCAATGGAGCAATAATAGTTGACAATTCTGGACCATGTAAAATGTCATGTACATACATATAGGCATGTTGGAACATGAAGCTAATCTCTTGTTGGAACCAATCGGCATATTTCGAACTTAACGACGTACTACAGTTCAATATAACAACTGAACTGCCTTAAAAATGGCACACATTGCTAGCCTGCCTTCTTTGAAATACGATGAACCTAAAAACTCATTTTAGGACGTCAACTTGAATGCACTTCCAATATCCTTTGCGAATGGTCGCCAGGTTTAAGCCCCTATACGCCGGCGTAACGCGTTAACATTAATAACAGTTGTTTTTCTGTTATGCCGACGTAACTCACGACACAGAAAAAAAAACCATACGCGAACACAGTATTTGAATACACATCGATGTTTTGATTATTTTAGTCGAAACTCCTATCAGACCTTATCTCAGTCAATGACTCGATGCGGATCCCGTTTTAAAATTCGCTGTAGTAGTCTTAGTTACTAGTACACTCGGAAAACATAAGAGAATATATAACATTATATCCTAAGTTATCGATACTTTAATTTAAACGAAACCCAGTCTGTATTCACTCACGTAGCGCTTCTCGCCCAAATACAATAGTATCGTTGGTGCCAAAAATTCGTTCTGTTTTCACGACAGGAAAGAATCTGCACGTAGGCAGTGAAATGCATCACGGGAGTATAATAGTTAGAAAGCATAGATTTAGAGAAAGGGCGGGGTTTTAATTTAACAGATGTCTATTTCAGACTTATCATACATTTCCACCGAAATGCAATTGGATAAAAAGTGAATAAAACAGTTGGTCTCAGTCTTTAAAATTAAAGGGCGGTGATCGTCGCGCCACGCATGCGCGAGATATGGCTCTCATCAACAAAGATGGCGACTTGGGATTGTTGCGCAGACCAACGAGTACAAACTGATACGTCTCTAAGCTTTGACTACGTAATTTCTTTGGTGATTGGAAGGTATCAAAGAAGTCACTGACGGCAGTGATCTCTATTAGAAGAGCGCATTGGATTGTAGAAAAATCAACACAAATATCATGCGCGGCGCGACGACAACAGCCCTTTAACCGCATAGTTACCAACATTTACGCCGCAACGTGTTATGAACAACTTAAGGGAGAAGACATTATTTTTGCGTGGAGGGAACTGGATGTGTGGGTTTGTGGTGGTTGTGTACATTCGTAATAACCTACAAAGAAAAGAATTTGCTGTCAGGAGATACACGATTATATGAACACACCCGACTCAGGGATATTAGTAATCTCAGCGAACATTCGAGCCCAGCCGCCGCCGGCAGAAACGATGGCCAGCAGAAACTTTGAACATGGCAGATATGCAGTTTGAATAGAACACAATGATGAGAAAGCACTATTCTATTTTTAAACAATTTCTAAAACCCATAAATTTAAACATATAATTCGAGTTAATAAACAATATCACGCTATCCACAATTCTCCACTGCACAAAAATGCTGTTACACTAGAAACCGACAAATAAGAATATCCCCGTCATTCCTGTATTGACCTCGCAACTTTCAATTGGCGCTGAGTGCAGCCTAGTGAAATCAAATTCTGTGGATTTTCATTGATGAGTAGGCTTATTCTTTTAAGATATATGCGAGCGAAAATCGAACGCGTCAAACAAAACTTTAATTAAGTATATGTGCTACGAATCATATGTAAACTATAACCCGCATAACTAACGAATCTCAGTGCACCCTGATTAATCTATTTTTAGATGTAATCTTTGTAAATAAAATTATCTATTGATAATAAGATCTCGAGGTGTGCTCGCCAATCTCCCTCTCTTAGAGTGCCAATGAAACGATTGCATTCATCTGATTTATTCGGTTTAATCTTGTAATTGTAATATCAGTGATAGCAAATACTCTCCTCTGACGAATTGTTTGTCTATTTTTTGATATTTATATTTTTATAGCAGTATTTACACTTTTCGAAAGAATTAAATTTAATTTAATTTAATTCTCTTCCACAGCTGTTTTTCTTGTAATTCGTTTTTTTTTCTGAGAGATTTTGTAAATGCACACTTGTCTATTAGTAAATAAATACTAGTAAATAAATAAATAAATAAATAAATAAATAAATAAATAAATAAATAAATAAATAAATAAATAAATAAATAAATAAATAAATAAATAAATAAATAAATAAATAAATAAATAAATTGTGGGTAAAAATCGTGTCACACTTAGGTTGATTCAATTACAAGGTATTTTGCATAACGCCCATGGTTAGGGACACTGCACGTGTCTAACACGGTGATCATCCTATTTACGTGTTCTATCAACCTGTCGGTATGTACGCCCAAAACACACAACAGCACATTGTTAAATCATGATAAAGCAGAGACTACACTTCCAGGATTTATTCGACTTGATGGTCTCTGAATTGGAGTTTTATAACTGAAAAATCCACATTGGGTAGTGTTGTTAAAATTACCGTGTACATGCCGTCAAATTTTAAGAGACGTGACCGGCGTTTTTATAAATTATATATATATTATTTTTCATTTTATGCACTGGAAAATGTATCTTCAATTATACATGAGCAGCAGTTATTTGGTAGACCAACAATTCATTAAAGCGCGGTGGTCGTCGCGCAGCGCGTGTTCGAATTTCATGTAAATAAACAATGTATTTTACAAGCGTTGTGTACGTCGCCATGAGTCCCATATCGAACAGGACGCGGCACGACGACTGCCGCCCTTTAAGCTACTGTCATGCATACATTACATGTTAAATGTCTTTAACCACATGTTTGTCCACAAAGGTAGTTTTCAACTAGTATTACAGGGATTTAACAAATATGAAGAAATGTGAAAAGAAATGTGTTATTACGCAATATACTATACTGTCTGAGAGACTTGGCGTCACCCCGTGCACACTTGTATATTGGAACGGGTACTCACGGAACATCACAGGAAGAAATAAACTACGTTGTATTGTTTATCAGAATACATAGGAATATGAATTTCGCAGGTTCTTCTAGCTGCTCAGTAAATACAACCATCCAACAAATCAAGCAAATACACGCACCGTGACAGCTATTGACAAACACATATAAAGACAGTTTTGTAGAAAACAGCGAAATACAACCTCAAATTTCACCCCAAAAAAATCAAATTCAAAACCATTTTTTGAATCTGACAAAACCGCGTGCACTTCGATTGTCTGGGGGAATTGACAAGAAACCTGTTATTACAGAAACATTTTGTTTTTTGCAATTATTTCAAATTGTCTAAATCGTATGTATGTAATATTTCTTCGTACATTTATTCCGGAGTTAGTGTTAAAAATATCACAGATGAATTGAATAGACGCCGTTGACACTTTCAAATATCAAATATAAACATGACTATCACGTTGTACCAATCGAGACCACGGGAATCTACACGGGAAAACATGACGTAAATAAAAACAGGTCGTAGGATGTATACCGAACTTAATAGCCAGTGGATGCCTGTTTCTCTCAAAGCGCAATTCAACATGTGTCAATTTCCGTTATGGATATCGTATAGCCATATAGTACCCAAAACAAGTTTCGTCTACTAATTGAATCCTAACTTAGTTTTCAGGATTTGATTTGGGTTCAATACTACGCTTGGGTTGGATATTAACGATAACAAACGATTTCATCATTTCGATATAAAATATATGTTTATGTAGCTCGTTAATATGTGGGTGTTATCAATGTGGCTCTGCTCGTGTGCAACATTTGAAATCGGTTTACTGATATGCGAAAACTGACACCACCAAACTCGCTTCAGCTTAGTCAACGATAATGCGACTGAATCGTTCTCGTTGCGTTAGTGGGGGAGAGATGATGAATGGTATCCAACGTCAATTAAGGAGAAAGATTACAAGGAACAGGGAACGTCGTGAAACTATCAACACCGGTGCTATGTTCGCAATCTAGGTAAGATCGAACGCATCGATAACAGGCCTGGTGCTCACCGGCACTGATAATATTTCAAGCGATGATGAATTATTTTCTGTTGTCAA